TGCTCACCTTTGGTTCTGAGGTGCCTGCTGAGGGTGCCCTGCTCACCTTTGGTTCTGAGGTGCCTGTTGGGGGTGCCCTGCTCACCTTTGGTTCTGAGGTGCCTGTTGAGGGTGCCGTGCTCGGCGAAGCCGCGGCCGCACTTGTAGCACTTGAAGGGCTTCTCGCCGGTGTGGTGGCGGATGTGGCGCACCAGGGAGCCCTTCTCCCGGAAGCCCCGGCTGCAGAACTGGCACACGTAGGGCTTGTCCTCCAGGTGGGTACGGAAATGCACCTGCTGGGCGTTCTGCATGCACAGGGAGGCAAGGCAAGCGCTCAGAAAGGACACGGCCAACTCACAGATGTGGGGCTTTGCTCCCAGGGTGGAACTCAATGTCTTTTATAGGATGATTTTCTTGGGTGGTGGTTTAGGAATGGAACTTCCCAAGCCAGTGCTGACACCATGACTCTCCAAACCAAGAGACGCTCACTTGTTCCCCTTTCCCTCTCCCCCTCCCCTCACAGTGGGCTGAGAGAATTGGAGGCACAAAAGGTGAAGATCATGGACTGAGATAAGGACAATTTACAGAAACAGAAATAAGATAAAAAACCACTACTGGTGACAGAGAGTGTGAGAAAGAGGTGAGCAACTCACCTGCCCTGATAACAGAGAGAAGGAACCCCTTACACTCATACCAGGATGTTCTAGACATGCACCCTCCTGGCTACTGCAAAACTTGACCTCATCCTGGCCAGAACCGGGACACTTATTACATATTTGTTCCCCACAGAAAGGAACAGTTTCTTCAGAGATGTGATGGTTTTACAAAGACTGTTCTTTTGCCCACTAAACCAAAACGTCTTTCTGGAGTTTCAGCTCACAGAATCACTGAATGGTTTAGGTTAGAAAGAACCTTAAGGAACATCTTGTTCCACCCTCTGCCATAGCAGGGACACCTTCCACTATCCCAGGTTGCTCCAAGCCCTGTCCAACCTGGCCTTGGACACTTGCAGAGATAGAGCAGCCCCAGCTTCTCTGAGCTATAAGAGACAGATGAGCTCTTTGAGGAGCAAAGCCCTGTGGCACAGCCTGGCTCTGGGGGGCAGTGAGGGGTTGGTGATGAGGCCCCACCTTTGTCTTGTAGCGCTTGCCGCACTTGGGGCAGGCGTAGGGCCGCTCGTCCGAGTGCACGCGCCGGTGCCCCTTGACGTGGGCGATGGTTTTGTAGAGCTTGCCACACTCCCCGCAGCGGAAGCGCCGCTCGTTCACGTGCACCTCCTGGTGCTTCTTCAGCAGGTAGCCCTTGGTGAACTCCTTGCCACACTCCTCGCACTTGAAAGGTTTGTACTCTAGAGGGACACAGAGAAAAAGGTGTGGTTGATCAGGGTATCCTGCAGCACAAGGATGTGCTACGGGTGTAACTGAATTGTCACAGAAGCGACCTGGAGAAGGGGAGGAATTGTATTGTCACCAAATGTGTGGGCTTTCACAGAACCCCAAAATAGCTGGGGTGGGAAGGGACCTCTGGTGATCATCCAGTGCAGCCCCCTGGCCAGGCAGGGTCACCTGCAGCAGGTGACACAGGAACGTGTCCATGGCTCCGCCACCCTCATTGCAAGGAGGTTCTTCCTCGTGTTAACATGGATTTTGTTGTGTTTTAATTTCTGGGCACTGCTCCTTGTGCTGTCCCTGAACAGAGTCTGGCACCGTCCTCTGACACCCCTGGGAGGGATTTGGAAGCATTGATGGGATCCCCTCTCAGCCTTCCCTTCTCCAGACTGACCAGGCCCAGCTCCTGCAGTCTCTCCTCATCAGAGGAGCTGTACCCAGCTGAGGTCACTGAGCTTGTGTCACACAGCAGCCCCAGCAGCCCTTTACCTGTGTGACTCTTGCTGTGAGCTTCCAGGGCAGCAACTTCATTGAAGGCTTCATTACAGTGAGAGCAAACGTAACATTTGTACCCGTTGGTTCCTTCTGCAGGTGTCTGCTGGAGAGAAAATGGGAAAACTGCTTTTCTATTTTTGTACTGGTGTGTCCAGTTAGGACTGCTACCCAAATTCCCAATTAAACACTCCAGCTTGGACAGGAAAGAGATCTCTGTTGTGAAAGAGACAGCACATGTGTGAAGGAACATTTCCCTTAAATCACACCTGCACAATGTAACTCTAAAACCTGACACAAAGCCACAGGCACAGGCAGACACACACGAGGACAACATGAGGACAACAGCTGCCCACAACCAAATACAGACAAGGAAAGTTAAAAAATTAATGTGCTGATGGAATACAAACATACAGACTCTACTCCTTCCAGTTTAACACACTGCTCCACACACGGCTGCTCTTCTACTTCCATCCCTTTGTTCTCCAGCCCTTCTGGAGCAGCTGCCACAGGTACATCCGGCTTCTGCACCTCCTCCAGAGCCACTCTCTCGATGACAATCCCCGAATTCCTCATGGCCTGCCTCAGCAGGTTCTCACTGTTCACTTCCCCCTCACAGGGCAGCTCCTTGGGATGCGGCTGCTGCAGGAACAAAGAGAAGTTGGGCACAGCAAACCCACAGTGTCCTACAGCAACACTGCTGCAAGTGCCACTCTGCTGAGTGTCCAGAGCTATGGGGCTGAAAGATCAACCAGGGAATACCTTGGGCTGAGGAGGAGGATGAGGTGGATCTGTACTCTGACAACCCAAGGGATGACAAGCCCAGAAGGACACCAACCAAAGGAAGTCCTTCAATCCACACTCAGATTTACTGCCAGTACCCCAGACACCTCTGCTCTGAGGTGAAACATTCTTTGTGTAAAACACACGGAGGGTGTTTGAATCAAACAACACTCACATCTGCCTCCAGGGGCTTTGCATCCACCACGGGCAGTCCCTGCATCTGCACATGGACCTCATGGAGCACGTTGCCTTTTGCATCTGTCACGAAGTGGATGACAGGGGAGGCCTCGATGGATTCGCTCGCTATGGAGGACACTGTGTCTGTGGTGGAGCTGCAGGGTCCTGCAAGAAATGAACCTGCAAGAAATGAAGGGGTGGGGAAATGCACCCCTCAGCAACTCCCTGTGCCCTAAAAATCTGCCTTAGAGCACAAGGTGCCTGTTAACACCACCTTCGTACCAGATTCTCAAACATTCTTGAGTTCACACCTGGCTTTGAGGTAATAACTTTCCTCTATAAATTACTTTTTTCTGGTATAAAAAATATAAATTCAAAACCATGGGATTATTTCTTATCATGGAATGGTTTGGGTTGGAAGGGATCTTAAAGCCCATCCAGTTCCACCCCCTGCTATGGCAGGGACACTTTCCACCATCTCAGGCTGCTCCAAGCCCTGTCCAACCTGGCCTTGGACACTGCCAGGGATCCAGGGGCAGCCACAGCTGCTCTGGGCACCTGTGCCAGAAGGAATTTCTATTCCAAGTGCTGGGAGGGTTTGGCTTTATCAGACAGGAAGCAGGTCCTGGCAGCACCACTGACCTGGTGGCAGATCATCTTTGTTGACAACTATTTCTTTGGTCATGTTGAAGCGGATTTTTTCAGTGCAAGGTGTTAGAGATTTAAGGTGCCGAGTCAAAGCTCCCGATTCCCGGAAGCTTTTCCCACATTTCTTACATTTGTAAGGTCTTTCATCTGGAAATGACAAGAATCAAAACAACCATGTTAAAGCCAGCATTGTGTGGATCAGCTCTGTGTGACAGGCTGAAGAACATGTTCAGCTTTCTACAGCACACAACTGTGCCTATCCCAGAACCTTCCACTGCCTCCCAGCACCCCAAATGCTGGGGAGCTCAATGGTCTCAGCAAAACATGGGAGGCAGCAAGGAATTCCACTGGAAGGCAAAAGGATAGCCACAGACAGCTCCAGTGACAAGGAGCTCTTATTTGGGAGGACCCTTACCCGTGTGCCGCCGATGGTGTCGGATCAGAGACCCCTTTGTCCTAAAGGAAGTCCCACAGAGTTTACACTCATAGTCCTTCTTGCTGCTGTGGGTGATCATGTGAGCTTTGAGGATGCTGGCCTAGGGAAAGAATTTCCAAATCGTTTAAAGACTTTACATTTTAGCTGTAAAGAACAACAAGGCTCCTTGTGAAGGCAGAACTTCCCTCTGGGAAGTGTGGCAGGCAGTAAAGCACGCTGCTACTGAGTCTTGGGAGCTCTTATAAGGTTCACAGCCAGCCTAAAAGGCTCCCTAGCCCACAACAGCAGAGGGGATACTCACAGTTTTAAATGTCTTCTGGCACAGCTCACACACATATCTCCCCTCCTTGTTCACCTGCAGCTTGACCTTGGTCAGCTCACTGGAAACGTCCTGCTCCTCACTGACCTCCCCATCCACGTGGCCATTCGGGTTCTCAAACACATGGTCTCCTGCTACAATGACCTCTTTGATGTGCCCACTGCCTGGGAAAAGGTGGGGACACAGTTGGCTTCTTTACAGGACAACAAACCATCATCTACTGTCTCAGCATGCCATGCAGAAGAAGAGAAAAGATATTTTAAACCTGCCACTTGAGTCTTTGCAACCTTCTCATTATGGCAGCATAAAATGGGCACTTCTGGAACAGAGTTTAACATCTAATTTGTATTAATTAGTTGTATTAATTAGGCTGAAAGAGGGTAGGTTTAGAATAGATATTGGCAAGGAATTGTTCCCTGTGAGGGTGGGCAGCCCTGGCACAGATTCCCAGAGCAGCTGTGGCTGCCCCTGGATCCCTGGCAGTGCCCAAGGCCAGGCTGGACAGGGCTGGGAGCACCCTGGGATGGTAGACGGTGTCCCTGCCATGGCAGGGGTGGCACTGGATGGGCTTTAAGGTCCCACCCAACCCAGCCCATCCCATGACTGTTCCATGGCCCTGATGGGGGAGGATTGCAGAGCTGGCCCAGGGCTGCCCCCCAGAGCTCTGCAGGAACAGCCCCAAATCCCAGTGCCACAGAGGTGTCGCCCACCCAACCACAACCCAAAGCCATCAGAAGAGGTCACAGATGAGGAAACAGCTACCAGACCCCCCCCGGGCACACCAAGGCACCCCAGAGCTCACCTACGATGGCCGAGGCGTCGCTGATCTCCTCTGCTATGGAAGATGCTTCAACAACAATGTGAGCAACAGTGATGGACTCCTCGACAGCAGGAACCACCTGCTGGCACAGAGCACCTTTCAGCAGGCAGGTCCTGCTTGCCTGAGCACGCTGCTCCCTCCCCTCCAACCCAGCAGACCGTAGCATCCCAATCATTTCCAGCCCCGGCTGGGAGAGGCCGCGGTCACCTTTTGTCCTTCGTGGCCGAGGAGCCCGGCGAGCGGGTCGGGAGGGCGCTG